GTTGTCTTGAAATACCAATATACAGTATTACATTTTGTAATTAAAGTTGATAAATTCAATTCTTTGCAAAGTGTTTTTTTTTTCAATGATTTTGCACAGTACAATTGTATAAATATTACCATACCAATACCATCATCATCATCATGATCACCACCACCTATTTTGCAGTCAACATAAATTAGGTTTGCTTTATTCCCAAGCAAGCGCCAGCAGGCAGGCTCGAAAGCCTACAATAAAGAAAACATTCAAACAATGCTGCAAAAAATAATCTACATATTGATAAGTTGCTATCTATGAGAGAATAGGATTCAGGTTTGTACCCGTCTGTAAGACGAGTATGCTATTCAGTTGAATACTGCTCGCTGTGAGGGACGGAGTCAGTCCGGGCCTAACTTCGGTTTGGCCCAGCCTGCGACCGCCTTTACGGTGGATTAGGAAGAGAAAATTGATGCTTGCATTGATGAGACCATGGAAACTTTTCTCTCATAGTTGTGGCATACAGGTAGAACAGTTGAGCATCAATTACATTATCATACACATCGAGCATTACATTAAGGAAGGGCAACATTCGCGATATTTTTTTTCCTATAATATTATCATATTATGAGAATTGCCAATGAAGAAAATTAAGCAGCCTGATTGGCTGTTCTAGGCTACGTCATCTGACTCTTCAAAGTGCTAAGGAGTTTTCGATTTGCACGTCCACTATGTCGACTGATAACCTATGACGTAGTTTTGATGACTTGCGCATGCGTCAAGTCGACTAACACGACGACTGCCAAATTTGAGAACGTGTTCAGTAGCGAGGTTCGCTCTCTGACTGAGATAACAAGTAGACGTATGACGTCATATCACTGCAAACTTTTGATTCATGATGGAGGACGATGTCGCGGTGCTTCTTAATTTGGCAAAATTATCTTCTACTGGGGATGTAAGCATGGGCGTCGATTGGTGGGGGACAGGAGGAACGCGTCTCCCCCACTTTGAAAAGTGGGGGGGGGGGAACATCATATCGATTGTCCCCCCTCCACTTTTCACCAATCTTCTATAATTAAAACCACATTTTTACTAGCGAATGAAAAGAATAACAATTACGCATGACTAATGAATTTTGTCTGTTCACTTTTCTAAGTACGGTACGTATTTTCCGGACCAAAACCAAGTAAAAACGCAATTGTTTAAACATTTCGTAACCATCTCAGAAACCCACTAGATCGATTTTATGGGTGCAACGACTATCAGAGACTAAATTTATTGTGAAAACTATGTACTAAACGTTGTTGAAATTGGAAGCATGTATCCTTATTAGGCCAATATTTTTACAAACTCAAAAGTGCACAATTTCTAATATAAACGTTTTATTATTTTTGTATATTATTATGACCCGTACGTAGTGTTTAATATTATCTACATACATAGGATTACTGTTTTTTTTTTCTAATTTCACGGATAGGATGTCTACCTATTTCGATTAAGTTATAAGCCTATCAAAAGTTTACAAACTCCAGTGTTACGTTGACACAGTCTCGCAATGACGCCATAATAATCAGTGGCAGATTCAAGTGGGGCCGAGCCGACCCTAATGTTTTCAAAATTATATTTTTTTAAATGGGAAAAAAAAAACAAAGGAAAATTAGAACTAGAATTTAGGTCTGAGAGTGCCATTTCCAGCAATCTAGAGGTATTATAATCATTAATTTTCTTTCCTCAGCCCCAACCATGGTGGGGCTGAGGTGATCAACTTTTGTAACGTGCAAGTCCCTCACTACCCCCCCCCCCTCTAATTTGCTTTAATTTGCTTTCCTGGAGCCGCCACTGATAATGATAAATTAAGTAAATCACCCCTTATGTTTGTGAAATCAAAATGCTAACTAATGTTTTGTGTGCTCCCTATCTCCCTAGTCCTGTTTGATCGTAAATTAGACGGTATTATTTCTATTCACAATAATTTTGTGAAATGAAATTCAAAAAAAAGAGAAAAGCAAAAAGCTCTTGATTGACTTTAAAAGTACTGTACATGCAAAAAGACTAAATTAATGACTGTTTTAAGTTTATCTTATTTGTTTTTCATAGTTCCAATTTTGAATACGTTACAAGCTAATCAATAGATAATAAATCACTATTTTTATGAATGTTAGTTTGCACGAAATATATAAGCGGGCATAATTATGACTAAAAAGGATAATTTAAAAAACTGTTTATGATGAGTATTTCTGTGGCAGACTCAAGAGGCCCAGCCGGCCCACCATTACTATATTTTTTTTTTCCGAAATTTAAAAGTGGAGAAAAATTAAAATTATATTCAAATTCAGTTTGAGAGTGCCATTTCCGACCAAGGAGGTGCCATAATCATAAATTTTTGTGGTGGTAGTCCAACTACACTCTCCATCTTTAAAAGTCCCTCTCTGGGCCCAGCTCTATTTCAAATTACTGGATCCGCCACTGGATATTTTAAAAATTTCGTATGGAAATAAATATTAATTGCATTGCTTAAAATCAATTAAAAGGCTAAATGCGCCAGAGCTTCCGGGGCTTCGCCCTCTGGTCCCCAACCATTGCTTGGGCCTACGGCCCAAGGCTTTATTTTTTATCTCCCCAAGGCTTTATTTTTCATCTCGTCCACCCACTTTCAGCCACGGATCGACGCCCTTGGATGTAAGTAAATAGCATTTCGGTTAAGTTATGTCCTATTTGCAAACTATAGAATTATCCATTATTGTGGATCAAATACAGCGGATAATTAGGTATTTAATTAAACAGCCTATTTGCTAGGCTAAGGGAGTCTAAGCCTAGGCGAGGCCGCCAGCCTTCAGTCAGGCCGGGCGTATCCAGGAAAAAGGAAATAATTTTTCAGTGATCTGTTAAAAAAAATCCTATATTGAACAAAAACGAGAGGTGCACCCTCAACAGGGAGATTTATGTTTTTACAACTCCCTGCCCTGAATACCCTATGGATATACCATTAAGGGATTAGCGAAGCCAAAGAAAATTTGCCATGTTGAGCTGCGTAGACTACAGTACATGAGTGTTGAGTAAGATACCACGGCCAGTGTATTCGAATAGCGCGCGCGAACACGGGGAAACCCCAGATCACAAGGTCATAAGTTCACTGACGTGTCAACATGGACGTTCACTTAAATCGAAACGTTCAGATAACCAGTGGACAAGTACCAGTCGGCTGCTCGGATTTTCCACTCACGCGGACGCGAAAGCCGTCCACGTCCATTCAAATTGAAAAGTCCATTGTGATTAATAGCTCGTCTTATTGCTTTGTGATTGACGAAGTACTGAGAGCGAACGACTTGGCTGGTAAGTCTGTGTGTCACTCGTGTGACCGATTGAAAAATCACACAACTGTCAAATTGTATAAGTAAATTTATTTCAACTATAAATCCCTTACAAGTTCATAAACTCTGACAAACTCCCTTTTGGTCAATCACCTAAGAATTATTCCAAATTACAGAAGGGGGTAGTCAACAACCCACTAGTACAAAACTCTGCAGTAAATCCAATCCGTCCTACAAACAAGAAATACAACCATGTTATTATTATAAAAATATAAACCATAATTATACTATGAATCAACATAGGCCCATAAATCCACGAATCATTAAACAATTAATAAGAACTATTATAATAAATGTGAACTACTAAAACTACAAGCCAATAAATAATCTAGCGCCCCCAATGCCGATTGGGCGGCATGAAATCACTCAAGCGTGACGACCAAGAACTTGCATGGCACACATACTTGCTTGAGTGCATTATTAAACCCACGGGTACATGTAATCTCGTTTTTCAAATACAGTATAATCTAACTACAATAAAACTGGCATACACTGTATCATCAGTTCATCATCATGATTTATATACGCTGTTCAAGGGGAGCATACGATTTCTGCGCTCTGTGTTATTTGCTTTTTTATTCCTATATTTCACCTTTTTTAACTAAACTATGGTTTGTTCCTAACTACTGAGTATTCTTCTTTTGCTGCTTTTGTTTGATTCTTCCGATTTTGAACTTCTGTATTTGTGTTTTTTGTAAGGTATTTGTACCTGCCTGGCTAGGCCTCTTTGTACTACTAAGTGTTTAGTGTTCATCACACACTGCACTGTTGTTTTCCACACTCCGCTGGCTATGTGCCTTGCTTGTCTGGCTAGCCCCATTGTTCTCTCTCACACATACAAAACTATTTTAGGCATGACCTTACATAGCCTACTTAGATCGCCTTGGCCTCTCGGTATGGGCTTCAAGTCTGTGTCAGACATTTTAGCCGGTCGATGTTATTTTAGCTACAGTCAAGAAGAGCTATTTAGTCTGAGAGCACAAGGTGAACTATCTCACACTCTTGATGCACACTTAAAAACCCTTAAAATTGATCGACATCCAAATACAAATATGATGTTCTGTCATAATTTTTTAATGAAAATAAAAATGGCAATAATAACTTTTTAATTTTAATTTTAAACAAGATACAAGCGAGCTGACAAAATACATCATGGAGATAATCAATTTGAACATAAAGGAAAGAGCAGCTGGATGGTGTTCATGGAGAGCAGCAGAAAAATAATACTAAGACAGACATTAAGGTATTTTAAGTAATAAAAATTATTCTACTTCTGTACAATTTTTTTTTTTTTTTAATTATGTATCATTACAATAATGCTTTATAAATCACATCGCATGTTCTTAAATACAGTATATCAAATGTTGTATTTTCATTGATATCCGTTTTGGTTATATTGTTGGGAGACCTTTACTAGTAGCAAGCGCCAGTCTTCCTAAGCATTAACTTGGTTGTCCATTTTTTAATGTTGCCCCTATTTTTCAATGTATGGCGTTTATTTTTTTTATTTTTATGTTTTTGTATGTTACTGTACTTGTATTCCCAAACTATTATGAAATAATAATAATAATAATAATAATAATAATAATAATAATAATAATAATAATAATAATAATAATAATAATAAAACTGTTATGCCATTTGTACCACATCGAAACCAAGGGAAAATGAGCGCACAATATAATTAACACTTAAAATATTTTACTTTCCATTGCCTAGAATGAACTATATTGCTATGTATTGCCTAATTAAATATATTTATAGTTATCTTTTCAGCTTCTTTAATTGTTAAGACGCAAGATGAAAATCAGATACTATGGTGAGATATGTTTACATCTATCCGGTGATGAACTCGTCATCTTGTCTCTGAACCCCTGCTGTTACAGACAGTTTTGTTTAGCATTCTTGTTTGTATTTTTGATAAATATAATAAATTAAATATATCACTCAGGCATTAATGAACTTGGCCTTAGCCTTGTAATGTAATTAATATTAAATAATAATAACAATAATAATAATATTAATAACAATAATGTTAACAATAATAATAATTATAAATAACCATATATAATTTCGCCATTATTCTTAGCCAAGCCTTGTAATCAATTGAGAAGCACCAGTACATTATACTATATAGGCCTATAATCCAAACTCCCTGCCTTAATTTTTAGTACCGGTAATTCTAGGCGGAAGCAGGTCAACTCGGCCCCAAGTCAACTCGGCCCCAGTCATCTCGGCCGCAAGTCAACACGGCCCCATGTCAACCCGACCCAAAGTCAACTCGGCCCCATGTCAACCAACCCAAGTCAACTTGGCCCCAAGTATTGTTATGATATTATTAGTTATTTTATATACCTTTGTATAATTTTTATTAATATCATTTTAATATTATTTTTATTAATGCAGTTTTAATTATTGTAAGTGCATGTAAATGAAACGAAATAACAAAGGCAACGATTTAAAAACACTTTAATTTTGGCTATGCATTCAAATCTCTTGGTAAATATTCAAAAAATACCGTACACAGTAAATTAGGGCCGAGTTGACATGGGGCCGAGTTGACTTGGGGCCGAGTTGACTCGAATTCGTCATAGGTTACCCCAAAACCGCGGCCAACTAAAAAATTAAAATATGCACAGTATGTAACTCAAATAGGGCCTAACACTTTTTATTATTCGTGCAGCGAAATCAAATAA